ATATATATATATATATATATATATATATATATATATATATATATATATATATATACACACATATATAATTAGAGCACGAATGGGATTTTTTTTTTTTCTGGAAAACTGGTTGGGAGTTGGCTTGCCCCTAGCTATATCTAGCTATTTAATTTTACCAAAAGCTAAAAAAATAATATATATATATAATATATATATATAATTATAATTATTTGATATTTTACATTTATACTCTATTTTATGAAAGGGAAGATTTCTGATTTTGGCAAAGTTCTATAACTGGCTGGCGTGGGTGGGATTATCTTTTCTATGGTTTGTCTAGTGTTAAATTTGAATGTAACCACTATATATACACAATTGATGGTCACATTTTTCATTTATGAGTGGGTTGCCTTTTATATATATATATATATATATATATATATATATATATATATATATATATATATATATATATATATAGGGTAGAGTAAATTACGAACACCACTTAGCTAAATTCAAATTACGTTCTTGTTTCGGTAATTACAACCACCACACAACTATGAATTTTCTTACATTTCCACCATTTTAATGCCAAATTCAACATAATCTTCTACATTCCGATAAATGTTCTCTAGCTTGTACTCGTTTTTGTGAGAAAATGCAGTTTCTGAATCACAACAATTTGATATTTACAAGCCAAGAAACACATCTTATGATAATCCTGTTTCAAAATGTAAAGTTCAAATATGATAAAACGGGTACAAACTAAAGAATATTCCACATAATATACAATACTCCCCCCCATTTGAAACCAGAATAGACGCGTAAGAAGATTCATACTTGATTAAGGGTAATTTTAATTATACAAACATATAGAGTTTTTTTTTTTACCGTAAATTGAATTTGCCTCGAGAGTGACGGTAATTTACCCAATATTTGTATTGTAGGTAATTTTGATGGGTTGAAAGGGTCTTAAATTTGATGGGTTGTTGAGAGAATTGCAACAGTGCATTATTAGTAATTTCATTATGGGCCCTGTAACCATGTGCCCCGCAATCCCAGTGACAGACTATTTTCTTGCACGAAATCTTCTTTATAGAGTAAAAAGCAGTTAACCCCCTAAACTATAGCCCGTTTTGCACTTTACCCCTCAAACAAAATTTTTTTGCACGTTTTTACCTAAACTACAGTTTTCGTTGCACGGTGCCTTAAAAAGGGAATATTCAGGGCATTTTTGCCGGAATCCCACACATGTGACTTTCACGTGATTTTTCCAAGGGCAAAAATGTCTTTTCATAAAAAAATTAACCTGGGTCTGATTTCCCCGTTTTCTCTCTCTTTTTTTTTCTCCAATTTCCTGACATCTCCTCTTCCTTTCTTCAATCTCTTACGATAATTTTCTTTCCCATTTTTTTTTTCATTTTTTTTGTTGTGCTGGTCTTTTACTGGGATATGAGAAGACAAGAAAAAAAGGAAAAAGAATTCATAGATTTTTACCTAATTATTCTTCAAAATCAGATTACTGGTAATTATGCATTAAATTTATTTATTTATTTTTTCTTCCAGTGGATTTTGGTAATCTGAGTTTAGATTTTTCTGGGATGTTATGTTTTGAATTTTCTCCATTATAATATGTTCGGATCTGGCTTTTTCTCTCCGTGGTTAGCAACTTTAATTTATCAGTACTGTTTCATCTCTGCAGGTGATGGTGGTGAAGACAATGGCAATTAAGTAAATTTCAACACTTTCGAAGTGTATATATATAGTCTGAAGAAAATTCGGGTGATCGATGTTCGATGACTTGGGTTTTTGTGGCGATTTCGATTTCGATTTCTTCTCGTCTGCGGCGCCCATCGTCAAAGAGCCGGACACGTGTCCTCTCCAATCTTCGGAGCCGCCAGGTCAGCAGCAAGACCTCGCCGGCGACGAAGACTACACCGACGATGACATCGACATGGACGAGCTTGAGAGAAGAATGTGGCGGGACAAGATGCGGCTGAAAAGGCTTAAGGAATCGAACAGGGGCAAAGACAGCGGCTGTGGCGGTGGCGGCTCGGCCCTGGATTTAGCAAAACAGAGGCAGTCCCAAGAGCAGGCCCGCCGGAAAAAAATGTCCCGGGCCCAAGACGGGATCCTGAAGTACATGCTTAAAATGAAGGCGCAAGGGTTCGAGTACGACATCATACCGGAGAAGGGCAAGCCGGTCAGCGGCTCCTCCGACAACCTCCGCGAGTGGTGGAAGGAGAAGGTCCGCTTCGACCAGAACAGCCCCACCGCCATTTCGAAGTACCAGTCGGAGAACTTCGTCGCCGGCAAAAACGAGACCAACAAAAAAAAAACGGGGAAAAGAAAGGTATTGTAAGTTGTAACGGGAGAGAAGAGAAGAGGAGATGTGAGGCAATTGCAGGGGGAAAAAAAAAAGAGAG